ATAGGCAAAAACCTTTGATGAATTCCCAAGGTCCACTAAGACTAATAATCATCAAAAAATTCCAAAAAAAAATAAATCCCTTGCCAAAAATAAATAAAAAACCGATTTTGAGATAAATCCCTCGAATGTACTTGAAATCACAAAATCGGTCGAGGATGTCAACTGAAATTTTTCCCCTTTTAATTATGAGCTCCGCAACAAGCGTGACTCGCTTGTACCTTTTCATACACGAGCCGCACGAATTCATCTCTTCTTCTCTCCTCTCCTTCCGTCCATGGACAGAGGTCCAAAATTTTTCGGATTTACTGACGCGACCGGCTGCGGCTCGGTGCGTAAACATGGGTGGATTATACTAAGATTACACATAAGTCAGAGAGAAACACGTACAACCTATCGACTTAAGTGGGGCTCATTCCGTGAAGGGACTCAACTCCTCCACTATAGCAATTCCACTAATAATTTTGCGATTCAGAAATCCCCTCACTTGTCCGGACCTAACGTGTCTGTCGAAATGTCATCCAATGGTACAGATGTATTTTATACTTAACTGATAGAGTATAAGAACAATTATTACTTACAACCTACCTACCGTCCAAAGCAAATGGTAAGCTCCCTTAAAAAAAAATCCATGTTTCAGATGAATCATGTTTCGAAAAAGTCTAACACGTGGTTATGGAAAAATTGGGGCGACTGGTGAAATTGCAACCGACTTGAAGCCGACATCAGGGATTTGGACCTCTGTCCATGGACGGAAGGAGAGGAGAGAAGAAGAGATGAATTCGTGCGGCTCGTGTATGAAAAGGTACAAGCGAGTCACGCTTGTTGCGGAGCTCATAATTAAAAGGGGAAAAATTTCAGTTGACATCCTCGACCGATTTTGTGATTTCAAGTACATTCGAGGGATTTATCTCAAAATCGGTTTTTTATTTATTTTTGGCAAGGGATTTATTTTTTTTTGGAATTTTTTGATGATTATTAGTCTTAGTGGACCTTGGGAATTCATCAAAGGTTTTTGCCTATCTTATACTTGATTAAAAGGAAGTGACACGTCAATTTCCTCGACCGGATTTTTTGCCCGAAAAATGTTTTTGAGGGTTTTTGTAGTTTTCAAGGTTTACATGCATCTCGTAGTGAGGAGGAGGGGGGGGGGCAGTAACTCCTGCTGCATATTTCATAATATCAGAAGCAGTAATTAATGAATTAAAAAGGAATATTTTGGACTTCCAATGTAATAGGGAATTTTCAAGCGTTTTCAGAAACTGTGAGAAAGGCAAAGTAAAGCCTGATGCCCCCCGCCCCCTTCACCTGAACAGTCAAAATGTCAATTATGTAATCGGAAATGCTCTTCAGAATTACTCATTGACGACTGTAGAAAAAACAACGTTAAAAAAAAACAAGCAGTGAACTCAAACACAATGTGTTGATAAGGCGCATCATTAACTGGCACATATCAACCCCTTTAGTTTTCATTCACAGAGATTTCAAAATAGGCAAGTAGCACAACAAGAGAATTCATACGATCTAACACTTCAACGACGCATTTTGACGAGACCGTGTGTTGTGAATGTAGAAAGCCATTCGAACAAGTTTAAGTTTTTTGATCTGCCTCCAGCAAAATTTTATCAGATTCTTAAAGAAAAGTGCTACAGAATAATTTAAGCAAAGAAAGGAAAAATTCTGTCAAACTCCTGAAAGATAAAGTCGATTTAAAGGTATTTTGGGGCTAAAATATCCAAATTACCAGTATTATAAATCCCGTTATATAATTGAAAAGAAATTGACTCTATATATGTGCAATTGCATTAAATATGTCTTGATTTTGTTATTTTAAACGTATTTCCATGCAAAGAAGTTCAACCATGTCCATGCTTTATTCATTCATGAATTGAAAGTAAGCAATCTACATCCCGAAAATCTACCGATTTGCTGTAAAGTCGCAGAAACTTTTACATACCAGGTCGATGTACCCACTCGTGGAATTTTCCAACCAATTTCGTGAGTGCAAATATATAAAAATCAATGTGCTATAGTCACTTTGGGTGCATTTATTTTTCATGAAATAATAATAATTTCAATCCCGAAAAACCATCAATTGGACCGTGTTTAGCAGAAAGGAACCAAGCCTCATCAGTCATTGCCAAATTTAAGGGGGCAATTTAATTTTTCACGAGACAACGTTTGTGTGGATTCCTTTGAAAATTTTAAGGAATTTGCCTTGTACTATGGAGAACATTTACTGAAATTTGCTCTAAAATCCGCACTACCGTTTTTATATGAAAAAAATTAAATTGCCTGATTCAATATGGCAAGAGCTGATGTGGTTTGGTTCCTGTCTGTTTAATGCGGTCCAAATTTCCGTCTAAAATCGAAATGTGTAGACTCCCTGGCGTGAAAATTAGATTCTACGTGTAAAAATACTTACATATGGATATGCTGAACAGAAACCATGTGTGGACACAGTCAGCAGTCCGCGGCAACGTATAGAATAACAGCAAAAATTGGATCGGATTTTAGCCGCTTTCCCCGCCTCTCCTCGTTAGTTACAAACCGTTCCTACACTCATCTCAAAATTTTTCTCAGAGCTTTGTGTTTTTCTCAGCTTCCATTTAAATCCCGGTTCGATGATCGAATGGGCTGCCCCAAAAGCAAGCCATTTTTGAAAGGTTGTATGAAAAATTCGTGATATTATCGGCTTTCAGAAAATCACCCCATGGCTAAAATTGGTGGTATAAATGTTTGAGTGCTTGAAATAATCGTATTCAAGAAACTAAGGCATTAGTCTAGAGTCAATTTCGTTTTAATAATATAACGGGATTTACCACCGGTGATATAGCTATTATAGCCCCAGAATACTTTTAAAGCGCCTTTACTTTCCAGAATCTTGACGGAATTTTTTTTTTTTGGCTTAAACGACTCGATAGCGTTTGGGCGGGATACCTTGCAGAATTGTTTTTATTTATGAGTAATTTTACGAAATGTTTCAATAATTTGCCCCTTCAAAACGGTAAGTTTGCCTTGTTGCCGTTTTACTACTTTTATTCCGTATTAACATACCAATACTGCATCTTGCTGGAACTGCAAATGATGGTTTTTTTCATTCGCTTTGGCAGCGTCCATTCAAATATCTATACTATAAGCTCCGAGACCTCCTAATTTTGCGTAACTGGTAACGCTTAGTTCCAGCGTTCTACTGGGCCGATTTTCATGATTTTTGCGGCTATCGACGGGCAATTGTCTCCAGATTAGCCCGTTCTATTCAGTTTTTCAAAATATGATCCAGGTTTTTATATATTACGTCGTAAAGTTGCGAATTTAAACAATGTAAATTTATACTTTTTGTCATAGTTCGTTTGAGTGTTCTACCGGGCCGATTTCCATGATTTTTGCTTACATCGACAGGTGATAGGCCCTAGATGAGCCCGCTCTAATCAGATTTTGGAAATAGGACCCAGGTTTTTTTAAAATAATGTTATAAAAGTGAGTGAATATACAGAATGCTTCAGGACTGCTACCGCTATGCGCAGGAGGATGCGCAGTGGTCGAGGAGGTTGCGCAGTGGATGTGTAGCATCAGCTCTCCTTATCAACACAAGATTCGCCCCATGTCCCTCAAGGCGAGTGGTGGCGGAGTCATCAAAGACGTCGGAGGCGCACACATGGATCAAGTTGTGGGTTCGATCTCTGACTCCTCAAACCTCAAATATCTAATTATTACCTGATTATCAGTGTTCATCGTTTTACTGCAATATTTCATTAAGAAGTCATTCCAAAATGCGTCCTTTTGACTTCAAAAAAAATTGTTTTTGTCTATATTCATCAAAAACAAAAATCATTTCATTCTGAAAGTAAAGTATACGTCATATCGTAATTTTTTAGGGGAAAAATAAAACCAACATTGATAGGAGGGTAAAAATAGGGTCGCGAAGCGGCCCATTGATGGCGCGGAGCGCCCTCGGGGGGTTGGGCCGCGTAGCGGCCAGGGGACGTAGCCCCCTAGCAATATGATACCCTATCATTTAATACATATGCTCTCGAAAGAGTGACTTTTACTTTCCTTTTGATTCGGCGTGATACGGCAACGGATAGGTAAAAAATGTAAAATAATGAGGAAACTTACCTCCTGGATCTCAGAAGCAGGTGGTTGTATGGAAAGACGAGAAAGCGTTACTTTGAAGGGTTTGGCTCACAGAAAGCTTTCAGACTGCACTCTGTTAGCATTTAGTAAAGTCTGCAAACCTACACACCCCCCACCCCCGAATCCCGTTTAAAATTACAACTGCATTAAAAAAAGTGGGACACTTAGAAATAGAACACCTCTGGTTTTCCCAGAGTAGTGCATGCTCAATACAATATTCAGAAAATCAAGATGGGATTAATTTTGAAACCGACTTTGCTTCGAAAAAAAGAAAAGAAAAAATGATGAAAAAGAAAGGGTGAAAAAATCTGCCAGAAAAGGAACCAGCTTGAGAGTTCGGGACTTGTCTTCCGTCCGCAGAGGAATCGGAGGGCCCGAATCCAGGATTCTTCACCATTAAAAAACCTCAGCAATTCATTACAATGAAAAACTGAAACTCACCTATTCAAAGAAGAAATGGTGACAAATGTAAATTTTTCCAGTGCATATGCACTAACTGATAGCGTATCATATTATATATAAATGGACGCTGCCAAAACGAATGAAGAAAACTAGCATTTGCAGTTCCAGTAAGATGCAGTATTGGTATATTTATGCAGAATGAAAGTAGTAAAACGGCAACAAGGCAATCTTACAGTTTTGAAGGGGCAAATTATTGAAACATTTCGTAATACTCCTTTCCAGATCCTAGAATCTGGGCCTTTTTATCTTCAATAAAAAGGCCCTCATTGATACCCCTCCTTTGTAAATATCAATTCTGCAGTGAGCAACTCATCATCTGTGGCATCTAGAAGTCATGTATTTGAAGTAATATTATCACTTAATTATCATCAACCAGTTAATTACAAGTCATACTTTTGTTTCAGTGGAAATAGCTACTTTGAAGCGAGTTGATGGTAAGACAATCACAAGAATTTTACCAGCTCAAGAAGTAGAAGCATTGATAGCTGAATACGAAAAGCAAGAAGCGTTTCTGGAAGCTCAGAAAAAAGAAAAGCAAGAGAAGAAATCATAAAATGCTCTGAGTTAATACAATTTGTTCCTCTCCAGGAGAGCAGTCATGGCAGTTGGCAATTTTTTTCATTATCTTCAGGTTTTTATTTTTTGCTTTTTTTCTCACGGTAATAGCCATAAATTAGGCTTTTTTGGTGGTTTTGAATCCATTTAAGAGAACTGACTTCAATGAGAAGTGGAGCCCTTGTATGGCATTGGGAATCGCAGTCTAAGTCCATTTTTTATTTTCATTATTTTTTTTTTTAACTAGTTCTGTTGCATGCAAGAGATACAGCCAACTGACTGCACTCTTAATGGGTAAATTAGTAAATTAGCTCGTAAATCACGTGGGGTACATAAAGGAAGTCTGAATCTGCTCCTTAGCGCGCAATTTGCATAGTTCATATTATGCTTTTTGTAGTTTCTCGCATATGTGGGCTAATTTTCTCAGTCACCGCCGATCAGGTTTACACAGGTAAAGGAGTGAGAAAGACCTACCCGAAGTAAACAAACTATTAACTAACTTTTTCTATTCTATGATTTCATTTGTTTTTGAGCGTTTGTTTCCTCTTTCTTCCTTTATTTTGCAAAACAAAAGTTTTGAATCCATTGAAATCTTCGGCAAGGAGAGTTCATCACAGTTTCCAAGATTGAACGTTTATTTAGGTTAGGTTTCTTTTCGGGTAAAGTTGACTGCCAGCCACCAAGAAAATCTGTCCACATGTGCGGTAAAAGCTTGTTACAATCTTTGCAGATTGCGCGCTAAGGAGTGGATTTTAGACTTTATTTATGTGTCCAACATGACTTTTGAGCGAACTTACTCTTAAAAAGTGTATTCAGTTGGCTTTATCTCTTGCTTGCAACAGACCCATCGCGCCAAATGTTCTCTTTTTTCTCTCTTTTTCATGATGTCTCACTAAGTAAAGGCTGTCATTTGAAACAAAAAAGTTAAGGGCTCCTGGACCACCTCCTTGAAGGGGGCCTAAAAATGTCGACTCCCACCAAAGATGGGTTTCTTGAAGGTAAGAACATTCTCAAAGTCTCATTTCCTCATATTTAACCACTCATTTAACAAGGCGACTTTCTGTATGCCTTGTAGAGGTGGACTTTTTCATAAAACCACAAATCTTTTCCATCACAGCATCAACATTGATTCTTTGAATTAGGAGTTTGTTTTAAAGAATAGCAGCAGCACCATTGCCCTCTTACAGAAATTTACCCAAGAAGTACGTTTATTTCAAATTCGTAACTTGCAAGATCTCCGTTGTACTGTTTGTTTATTTTACTAATTTTGTTTTTTGGTTCCCAACCTGTGATTTCGCATTCTCTCCCATTTTAGTAATGAATTTTTTTTCCCCTATCTCATTAAACTTAAAGCCACCCGCCAACAATCAACTGTCACAATTATTTACTGCTTAAGTGATATAATGGGTCAGTGGCAGCTAATTTTTTTAATTCATTTCCTGATTGAACTAAGTGACCTGAGTTTCTAAGAATTTTTTCGTATTTTTTAACTCTGAATGGCAAGGAAGCCGATTTTAAAGATCCCAAAAATGGGACCCATTTGAAATATTTTTGGTGGGTTCTGATGACAACTACAGCTTTTGATGACTGGCTGAACTCAACTTCAACCTTTGCCTTGCTGTGTCAACTCGACTGTCGGCTTGCAATAGCTTTTCTCCTTTTTAAGAATTGCTTTTATGACCGTTTTGGTTTTTTCACGAGAGAGAAACTGTACTACAAAATTGCCAAAATTCCTTGCCATTGGCCCATTCTTAATGTATATTTGTTCATTTTTCAACTCATTAATTTTGCTCTGCCTAAGCTATTCTAAATACATTTGATTTTTTCTAGTAAAGTATGGTGTATTATTTTTGGGAACTGATCATGTGTAAGCATTGTATATTGAAGTACTATGCTTTATTTCAGTTTTCTTATTAGGAATGGAGGCAAATTTTCAAATGGAATTCTGAGACGTTCGTAGGCCGTATCCATCAATTTTTTTTGTGATAATGAGCTCTTCATGCCCTCCAGTTGATAAGATCATTCTCAGAACCTTTAAATTAGCATCGGATTATGAATTGCTCTCATTGTACCTTAGCATGTTACTAGTGTGAGGTTATATTTACAGTTTCCTTGTGGGGAAACTCAGGCGCATTAATAGACACGATGTTTCAGTCCATAGTGTAACCGCTGAGTTATTTAATGCGTTGCTGAGCTCAGTGAAAGTGTTGTTAAACGTTCGTTGCAGTTAACTGATGACCTGTCATTTTGTTTACTAACAAGTTTACGCCATCGCTAAGCGGATAACTAAAAATGGCGGTCTGACGTCATTTCGCTGACTTCAATATTTTTAAGTTTAACAACGCATCTGAAATGGCGGAAAACAACATGATAGTTGTGACGTAGGCGGGCCCATGAGAGGTCTTCGTTTCTGGTTTTGATTTAACTTCGTTTTGCAGCTTCAATGTCGAACTTTGAGTATTTTTAACCACACCATCAGTTTTCCCATGAAAGAGGTTGTTCCAAAAACGCCGATTTTGCCCCCCCCCCCCCCCCCTGGATTTGGCCCAAACTTTGCTCAGATGTTGTACTAAGTGTCCCCGATGCTTGGGCAAAATTTCAGCCCCCTCGGATAATTAGGGGGGAGGGGGCAAAGTTGCTATTTTTTTAAAACTTTAAAAATCGATATCTCGCGAACGGTTTGAGTGTAAGTGTTGCGGTTTGCGCTAAAAAAAGGTTAAAAAATATTCTCTACAAGAATTTTAATGCTGTTTGCAAGGTTACGTAATTGATCGCGGTCATAAATCGATTTTTTCGATTTTGACGTTTCGACTTTTTTTAGTTTTTCGTCTCTCCTCTCTTTGGAATCGTTGCCACGTGAATGAAAACCTGTTGAGATGATTTTCCATGAAATTCCGCATCTACCACACTTTGTTTGACCTTGGGGAAACGATTCGTTCGTGAGTTACAGCGATTTTCCTGCGCGTTACCGGTTACGCGCGGGCGGCATATCGGCGGCGCTCCATCCCGCGCGGGCAAGGCAGAGGTTGCTTCACCGCTACGGCCTTATATTCATGCTGTAGGCTGTAATCATCGATATTTTCTCCTCCCTCCACCCGTCCCCTCCAATAAATATTTTTTTAATACTTCGTCATACAGGGTATGCCAGACCACCCGTAACAGGTCTTTTTCTCGGTTGGTCTAGCAAGGGGAGGCTACCGATTGTCCCCCTCAGATCGGGTTCAAATTTGGCAGAGAGGTAGAATAGGTTAATATAAGAACCCGTATTTTTTTTTTAGGTGCCAATGCCCAGCCGTTTTTGAGTTATGAATTTTTGAAGTTGCCGTTTTTTCGTGTCAGCGACGCGCTCAAGTTGAGCCTCCTGTGCGCGCACCTTTTAATGCGATCCGAATGTCGTAGTGTTCATGTGAGACAGTTGTCCAAGCGGTAGCGCGCTCGCCTATGGTGCTGCAGGCTCAGAGTTCGATACTTGTTCCGTGAATTTAATTTTTAAAATTGATTATTTTGTTTTTTGATCGCTTCATCACAAGAAATTGTAAGTCACCTTGTAGACGTTGTGATGCTAATAGACCACTAGACAGGGTACGAATTTCAGCATTCTGATACATGTTTCTTAAACGAAATTTCACTTAAAACACGGCGCGCACAACGAAAATTACCAAAATTAACTCCTTACGAAGATATTTAATGATTTTTGATGCGTAAATTCAAACCACCCGCTCACGAAAACTCAACACTCTACGTGATTCACATCGCGCGCTAAACGTTATCATGACAGTCTCTGCTATATTAAAATCTGACAACCTCAATTTTGACGCTTTGGCTCAGCTATAGCAAATTGCTTATAGTTTGAACAACAAATGGTGGGAAATGAACATTGCTCGATTGAGAAGATTGCTGAAACCGTTGTAGTGCACGGTTTGACTCACGTAGAGCTTTGAGTTTCTTGTGAGCGGGCAGTTCAAATTCCTCGTAACCAATGTGAAGTAAAAACGTTAATATCTTCGTTAGGAGTTCGTTTCAGTAATATTCGTTGCGTTAATCGTGTTCTACGTGAAATTCTGGTTAAGAAACATGTATCAGATTGCTTAAATTCGCACCTTGTCTAGTGGTCCATTATGTTTTTTTCCTTCTTTGGCAAACGCTCATTAAAAAAAAATAAAAAATAAAATATACATAAAAAATAATTAGAATCATAACGTCTACAAGGTGACTTACTATTTCTTGTGATGAGGCGATTAAAAAACAAAATAATCGATTTTAAAAATTAAATTCGCGGAACAAGTATCGAACTCCGAGCCTGCAGCACCATAGACAAGCGCGCTACCGCTTGGACAACTGTCTCACATGAACATTACGACATTCGGATCGCATTAAAAGGTGCATGCACAGTAGGCTCAACTTGAGCGCGTCGCTGACACGAAAAAACGGCAACTTCAAAAATTCATAACTCAAAAACGGCTGGGCATTGGCACCTAAAAAAAAATACGGGTTCTTATAATACCTGTTAATACCTAATTAATACCTGTTCTACCTCTCTGCCAAATTTGAACCCGATCTGAGGGGGACAATCGGTAGCCTCCCCTTGTAGGTAGTACGAAGTGGGGGACCGCGGGGTTGAATAGGGAATTGACCCCAAGAAATTCGAATTTCACGGCCCCGAAACCCTCCATGCCTCCCTTGGGAGGTAAAGAGGGGGTCACGATCCCAAAAGTCGGGAGACATTGTGCCTCCCCCTTTTACCCCCCGAGGGTGGCTAGGGGGGGCCTCGGGACCATGAAAATCGGATTCCTTGGGGTCGATTACCTGGGAAATCATCTTTTTCCAGAGAATCTACTTCAATTTTTGACCAAAGGGAAATTATGGAGGGGGCCAATGTCCCCGTCTTGAAGAGATCATTTTTGGGCGCAAATTGACGTAGATTCTCCGGGAAAAGATGATTTCCCAGGTAATCGACCCCGAGGAATCCGATTTTCATGGTCCCATGGGAGCGCCGCTGATATGCCGCCCGCGCGTAACCGGTAACGCGCAGAAAAATCGCTGTAACTCACGAACGAATCGTTTCTCCAAGGTCAAACAAAGTGTGGTAGATGCGGAATTTCATGGAAAATTGTTCCCCAGCTATGCAGATTTCTTCAGATCGCTCGCTCAGTCTGCCTCCTATGTGAAGCCTAATTATGGTTTAGTTATGACCAGTAAGATCCTCTTTGCTTCTGGCTTCAGCATACTTAAAAGTGTATTTTGTAGTTGGAAAATACAGTGTTTTTCTCGCAGTGTCCAAACTACACTTTTCTCATTTGACGGCTAACAAGAGCTCATGATGTGAGCGACTGCAAAGCATAATAGATCAGATCATCCAGGACGTCATCATGCTTTTCCAGAACTCTTGTTGTTTAAAAGATTAATGGGCTCCATTAATTAATGTGTAACATTGTTGTGGAAAAGCGCGTCGATAGTCCGTCAGAGCATCGGAAGAGGATTCTCATTCACTTCAAACCTGTCACTCCATCTACAAGATCCTATGTCCTCCTTGGGACAGTTTCTTTACCAAGATATTCATTCGCAGAATGTACAGCAAACACCATCTCCTTTGGTAAGTACATAAACCAGCAACTAAGTTTTGAAAGTCAACTTCCCCCTTGACTTGATAAAATGGATAAAGGACCCTACAACAAAACGGCCAAATCGGCCTAAACACGGAATCCTACGATTTTCTCAGGGATGAAAGAGGGTCTTCCCGGACACTCAAAAGTGGTCATTTTTTTGCCTAACCCTCAGGGAAAAGGGGGGATGGGGGATCAAAGTCAAAAACTTTAAAGTAGCATAACTTCTCAACGGTTTGTCGTAGAAAGATGATCGCGATGTCAAAATTTCCAGTAAAATGAGAGCTTTCAGAATATATGTATGATATTAATAAAATTTTAAATTTTGACCCGCTTTTGGGGGAATTATACAAGGTCCCCCTTTCGTAAATTTTCGTTTTTCGATATTTTCGGTCGTTCGGTTCGAACGGAGCAAAACAAAAACAACCTTAAATGAAAGTAAAGGACATAAGGTTTAAAACAAGCCCAAGTTCATCTTGGGGAAACTATTAGAAGCGGAGTTATGAGTCTTCAAAGTTGACGCGGCGCGCGGGAACCTTGTATGTTCCGAGTCTCAAGGTCACCTGCGCCCCCCGGATTGCCCGCATGTCGCAAGTTTTTGTGTTTTTATACTTCTGTAGGTCGGTTTGAATGTATATCATTCAATGAAAATAGAATAATCGGAATTTTTTAATTTTACGGGGGGAGCGAGAGGGGGCTTAGAGTATCAACCATTATGTCCATCATACCTCATTAAACATTTGCTGACAATTAAGATTCTGCTCATATAATTTAGAAGAAACCATGGACCCTCAGTTCAAATATACATATGATCCACACAGAACTGAACCATTTATAGAAACTGTAATCCCATTGATGCCAAATTTTGGGGTACCCCTAATTTTAAAATTTTATAATTAAGGTATAAGCTACAGCGCTCGATGGAACTCACTTGGTAAAGCCAAATAGTTTTTCGTAGAAGCAGACGAGTTTTGAGTTCCAAAACAAGCCTCAGTTATTCTTGAGGGGGCAATTTGAAACGCAGTTACAATTTTTTATAGAGAACACTTTACCCTCAAAACACTACTCACGCTGATTTTGGACTAATAATTATATGTGTACGATGGTGGATCTGAGCTGTACTTACTTACCAAACTTTGTTGAGCGAAGTTGTTACTTAGGGGAAATTCATTAACTGCTGCCAAGGATTCACAAACTCTGACCTTGATAAATATTTCCGGCATATACTTGA